TAGTTGGTTGTGTTGATTGAATATTTCAGTTGGTTGCTTCGAGTTACCGTACCAAATGTGAATAGTGCACTCACTTCATGTGTTGTAACACACCAATCACTCCAACATACGTTTCCATATCGATTTCCCGCCGGTATGGAATTAATGCATGGCACATTACATTCCTGCCAAATAATGTTCTAGGAACTGAACATTATGTTTTGTTCCTGCAGTATGCAAGCTGCCTTGGGGTGTAGGTTTACATAATTGTTTAAGGGTTGTGTTTTGCAACTATGCAGCAGTGTACATTTGTATTTTCAGTGGAACATTAACGGACAAAACATTGACCCAACTTGCCAAGAAATGTTTCCTCAATTATTGGATATTATGCTTTGTGTGATTTCAATTTCTATGTATGTTAGTTGTGTTAATTGAATATTTCATCTGTTCACTTCGAGTTACATTAACAGATTTGAACTTGGCATGCTGTAACACACCAATCACTCCATCATATGTTTCCATATCGACTTCCTGAACATATGGAATTAATGGACGGAACATTTTCGGCTTTACATCATTATAGTTAACACCACGAATACAATAGCATCACAACACACAAAATTATAATGGTCCCGTCACACTTGCAACGAATCGAACCACGTCAATCAGCATATATTCGTTGGTGTTCGCCTCGATCCCTCGCTCAAACAAAGTAGGGTTTCCGCCTCCAACACTGCGTGTAAGGAACGACTGCTGTCAGTGACAATCTCTCATCACCATTTCACGATTACAATGTTTTAGGTTTAGATTTCACCAAATCCACATTGATCTACAGAATATTTCCATTCCTTATATCGTGGAATTCGTTTGGTAAGGAAGGAAACTATAAAAGTCTATAGTAAGCTTGGTCCAAATATGTAATTTCAACTTAGTGAGAAATCCCACATTCACCCCTCAATTCAAACAACCACGTGCTGCTAATGTGTCCCTTTCTGGTAATTCTTAATAAAACAGGACCTTTAGGCCTATAAGATAAAATGGAGGATGAAATGGGGCACAATTTCAGAATTTAGGATTTATTGGTGCTTCACCCTAATATCAATTGAAAAAGAATATGTTAGAAAACTTAAATATAAAAACTTAAGAGTCATTTGTTAACTTTTTTGTCTCCTATTTTTTGTTGTCGTATTCATTTTTTTTTTTTGAAAACTAAAAATGAAAACTTATTTGATATATTATTTTCATTTTGGAAAAAACAAAATTGCTTTCAAAATTTTTAAAGACACAAAAAATGAGTTTTCACTTTCTCCTCTCACCCACTACCCACCGGCCACTGACCAACACCACCCATCGCCACAACACCACTGGCCACCGATTAACACCACCTACCGCCAGTGGTCAAAGAGCTCCGGCCAACCTCCGGTGGGTGGGCGATCATTGTTGTGATCTTCAGTAAATTTTTGACGTTCTTTCGGCCACCTTATGACATTTGACAACATCCAAACACTAACTCTGGCAGACATCTCCAACCATCCGTTACTATCAGTCATCACATCCATCTACCTTCCATCTCCGGTCACCAACTCCGGTAACTCATCAAATATATTTCTCTATTTTTATTTTTATTTGTTTTCAAAATATTTTTGTATACCAAACAAGTTTTCTATTTTTATTTTTGAAAAAAATAACGAAAAACTATTTCTTGTTTTTTATAAATAAAAAACTAAAAACTGAAAACGTTAAAAAATGAGGCCTTAACTTATAATTTATATTTAAGAAAAAAGGGGTTAATTGATAAAAGTCCACACTAATAGGGCCATATGTTATTTGTTCAAAGGTTTAATATTTTTTTTATGATAAGGACACACACTGGAAAGTTGATGTCGTTGAAAAAGTTGTTGTTAGTCGGCGGACAGTAGCTGGTGGTGGTGAGGTGGACAAATAAATGATATTGAACAGATAGGTGAAATGATATAGATAGATAAGATTTGAACAAATAGTTATACATATAAGTAACACGGGTATCGGTAAGTAGTATTTAGACAGATAAGCACATACATGAGTTTTGAACAAATAAGTGTCCTTTTGACTGAAAAAGATTTTAGTTTGGATCTATTTGGGAGGATTGGAGGGTAGGATATGACTCTATATCCATTCTATGTATAGTCTGATGTTTGGGTCAAAAAATGTAAGTCGGGCTATTAATCCCTTATTTGTGGGATTATTGTGTCTCTTAGGGGGTGTGAGATAACTCCTCCTCCAAATTAGAGAGTAAAATGACATTTTTGGCCCTCTAGATTATTGTACGTGGTAAAATAAAATAAAATTTAAAAGTCTCAACTAAAAATTAAAATAAATTTATTTAATTTTTATTGATAGTCTATTTATTTAATTTTTGAAAAGTTCTATTCAAAAAATAAAATATAATTTATAACTCAGATTTAGTATTCCTATTATTTAGTAATCAATTTAAAAGGATAAAATAATCTTTTGAGGATTCATCATTTTTCATAATATCCCAAACAAACATATAATTCAATAGAATAGTCCTATCCACACATCTAATCACATGACTAAACAAATATAGAATACAAATCCAATCAACCCAAATAGTCCGAGGACAATGCATCCCAAAATTAAGTAGATTACAATCTTTCCTTATCTAGTCTGTCCAAACATACACTACCTGATTTAAAAAAATGATAAAAAAAACTCAGCACCTTTTCTCTTCTGCAAACACACTCCTGTTTAAGAATTGTTCAAAATAAACATAGGAAAATGCTAGATCCTAAATAATCTATCAAATTTTCAATCAAACCTCTCACATAGATATGGGACACACACAAATCTACGTGTTTGAATCCTCCATACTCATGTGAGAGATTTGATAAAAAATTTAATAGATTATTTGAATTCCTAACATAACTCAATAAATAAACTAGTTTCTATCCGAGAAACTGGCTATAATCCTCATTTACTGTGTTGATTTTCATATGGCCATGATCCAGCTCAACATTTCTGTTAAAGAATCTAATAACACAGACAAAAAACCAGAAATCAGAATATTGATGAGGAATGTATGCAATTGACTGTCAACAAATCCACATATAAATAAATAAATAAAATCCAAAGATACCATAGTTCGAAATTATGACATTTATAGCTACAGAAACCAACAGTTGAGAGAGCTCTAAAACAGCTGTTACTAGCTTACAACAATATACTCATTCAAACATCCTAACCATCTCAGAACTTATCTACACTAAATCCATCTCTAAGAATCTCATAAGCATCTCTAGGCCTGGTTTTCTTCATCCCTGCGGTGAAATGGAGCTTTCCTCCATCAGCTGAAATGCACGTAACTTTCACCCAAATCATCACCTTTGTCTTCATCCCCTCTATATCAGATAGCTTCCCTTTCTCCAGATATCCAGTTACAGTGGTTGACAATCGCAAAACAGACTTGTCTCTGTATCCCACTTCACAAATCGAGGGTATGTAGACAATAAGCTTACCTGTCTCTTCATTGAACTCGTAGTTGGTAGCATCCCGAGGGAAGATACCTACTGCCATGTCATACTCCTTTAGCAGTTCTGGTAGTGGCTTTTGCATTTTCCCTGCGAAGAAACCATGTTTCATTGATTAACGTGGTGCTCATACTACCCATGTAAACTTCTAGAAATTGTCATACGGAAATTTGAAAAAAAAAGAACAATGTAGAGACAAAACTAAATCAGAATGACTTCTTTGGAATGGTTAGGTTTTGCACACATGTTCAAAGAAACTCCAGTGGCAGACCACACTATCTCAACTCAACTAGCTCATTTGTCTACTTGAAGCATTTAAAATTTCCTCAAAATAAATAAATAAAATTGAAAAAAATTAAAAAAATGATTTAAGTTATTCTCTTTGAACTCCATTTTGTTTTCCTGTAGTGGTTGTCATTGCCAATCAGAGGTTTCATTTCATGATCACTCACATCACATCTTATATGTTGCTCCAGCAGGGGAAAAAAAAAAAAAAAAAAACCTAGTTATGTTCTCAAATCTTGTCTCCAACAGACTGTCTGTAGTCTCAAATCACAATTCTCAAGTCCCACAGTTGTTACAAGTCTACAAAAACTTCATTGGGGAGGTCAGGTTTGAGTTAATGAGGTAAATCACTTGAATTGTGATCCCGATGCTACAATACAAATGAAATTTGCAATGGTTGCCTGCTAAGATTTGTAATGGTTTAATGCTACAAGGCCCACAACACATTGAGATGATTATAGTTTTATAATTGGTGAAACCAGACAAGATTATGATGGATCCGACAAGTAATTATTTATATAGCAAGCAACAATAGAAATGCAAAAATACTAGAGATCTCAAAGTACCATAAAATTCTTTACAGACAGGATCATCCAACTAAGTCAACCCATGACAGACTATTTACAAATATACATAAAGTCCTTTCCAGCAAGACAAAATATAGTTACATAACAAAATGGAAAGGATAGGTCTCGTGCGTGAGACACAAGGCTGACTCTCTAAAACTCATGTTGTTCTTGGCAGGCTTCACTGGGGCTGGGTTTGGACTTTTCTTGGCTCACCTACAAACACATGAATGAGCGTGAGCGATAGTCCAGTGAATAATATCAAATACAGAGGTTACATAACAATATGTAGAACAACATGCTCCAAACGGCCTTGGGCCCAATTCATACTTTTATTTAACAGATATATATGTATAACTATACGAAATTCAATCAAGTCACTGTAGTTCATGCTCCGAACGGCCTTGGGCCCAATGCATATTTCTGCTTAACATATATACACTTATACAGAATTCAGATCAAATGACTGTAGTCCCAAACATACTGGCCTTTGGCCCAATCAGATTTCCATTCATGCCAAAACGGCCTTCGGTCCATTCATCTATGTCAGAATGGCCTTCGGCCCATTCATTTACGTCAAAACGACCTTCGGCCCATACATTCGTGTCATAACGACCTTAGGTCCATTCATTTATGCCAAAACGGCCTTCGGCCCACTCATTCATGTCAAAACGACCTTCGGTCCATTCATTTCTATCAAAACGACCTTCGGTCCGTTCATTTCTATCAAAACGACCTTCGGTCCGTTCATTTCTATAATGTCAAACTTTTGTCCACAATCCCAATTAACAACTCATAAAGCTTATAAGGGAAATAACAATTGGACATTGACAATTATTCGAATATCGATATTACTCACAGTGATCGGCTTGTGGATTTGCCCTGGAGCTTGACCCTACACATTTCATGAACACAAGAGGGTCACTAACAGTTCAATCCGTTCTTTGATTCACATATTCCTCTTTAGGTTTTATTCTTATCTCATTAACTCATTTACAATGCTTAGCATATGCCTAAGAGTGCTTACAGGTGAAAGAGAACGGAAAACGAAACACAGAACGAGCATACAAAATTTCAGAGAACAGGGTCCCCGCTCGAGCGTCAACTTCCCCGCTCGAGCGGACCCTTAAGGCCTGCAAAAGTACTGGTTGCATGAAAAATACGCTCGAACGTGGGATAGAGAGCTCGAGCGGAAGGTCTGTCTACAAAAGCTCCCCGCTCGAGCGTGAGATATCCCGCTCGAGCGGACATCCAACTCTGCAAAAAGTGTTGGGAGCACGATTTTCCCGCTTGAGCGGACATAAAAAAGCTGGGTTTTCCAGATTGAGTTCTTGAGCTCCAATTCGAATTCCCAGCTACATTACTTGCATGCAATGGCCCAAATCTCAAATATAATCATACTAACATGGCACCAATGCAAGATTATAACATTATGAGGCTCAATTTCTTGATTTATCTACATACATGTCCCAAAATATGCCATACTCAACACCAACATAACAAACTCATGCATTCAAGCTCATATCTTCTCAAGTTGTACATGCATGTGATGAATTAGCCACATTCTCAACTTAGATGCACAATTGGTGATCAAAACATGAGTTTCAACTACAATTTACATGGATCCTACCCCTTTGAGTTCAAAACATGCAATATTCAAGACAATCACACATATGCATGCATATATGGGTCTCCATTATAACGAATTCAACTCAATTTCCTTATGATCAGACAATTCCATGCTCTAGACCCTCTTTCAACCTTGAATTCACAAAATGATAGTTAAAAATTTACATGAACTACTCACCAAGGAGTTTAATCTTCACAATCTATGGCAATTCTTGTGTTATCTTCAAGGCATTCAAGGATCAAGAGCAAAACTTAGATTTTTCTCCCTTCCCTCTCTCTAATAGCCGGCTCTCTCTCTCAATCTCAATTGTATAACTCAGATTTTGAGTTCAATAGAGTTAAAGGAGAGTGTAGTGCTAACATACAACAAGCCCCATTAACATATTATTTTAATATAAAATAATTGGACACTCAATTCATCAATTTAATCAGTTTAATCTGACCCGAATAAATTTTCAATTAAGTTTCACCGTAGGCTCTAAAAATCACGCTAATCACAATGGCGTAATCAATTTCGGGTTCTGTGGCCGATAAGGCCCTCAATTTAATTTCCAAAGCAGATTATTCAAACAGATATTCCTACGGTGAACAGATAAAACTTCAAAATCACATATATTCATATAATGGCACATAAAATCATGCTAAACACCTAATCATACTCAAATTAAGGACCAATTAGCATACTACGGGACATGGGTATCACATTATCTTTATGGACAAAGTAATTTAACGCGTGGACCTGTGGATGGAAAAAATTTAAAATTTGATAGTTGAATTGAACACCGTAAAAAGAAATCTTATTTGCGCCTTCGCTTGAAAAAAGGTTGAGCCACCATTGTTGTCATCTCTTTCTATAGTGAGAAACAAAAGCAAAATCAAAAGCCCCTCATCATTATTTTGAAACTCGTAATCGAGAGTACATTTTCAGATCAAGAGGAAATTGAA